TCATGCTTCCGTTGTGAAAGACCATCAAATCATCGCGGTGGAGTTATAGTTTACATAAAGTCTTCCTTGTGTGGTAGACTAGTGAGCGCCTACCAAAGCGCTGATGGTCTGTGTGAGCAGTTATAGTGTTCGATTCACCTCAGACACTGCGAGTTGCTCGTGGGCGTGGTATATCGCAGTCCACTGAGCCGCTGTTTAGACTGGTTGCCGCATGTCCGCCACCACATGAGTCGGCAGATGTTCCTACTCATGGGTGATTTCAACTTGCCCCGAATACAGTGGCCTGAGGCTGAACTTCTCCCCGGCCACTGTGAAGCCGAGAGGAAGTTTACGGAGTTGATATTTGAAACTGGGGCCACACAGCACATCAACCAACCGACACGCATTACTGCGCGCGCGACTCCATCATGCTTAGACCTACTTTTGACTAGCTGTGAGCAGCGTGTGCATAACATTTAAGTCTTAGAGCCTCTGGGAGCGAGCGACCACTCGATGATCATAGGCAGCTTGGAATTACCACTGCCGTATTCTCCCCCACTGGAACCAGCCTTCAACTATTGGAAGGCGGATTTTAATGGTCTTATTCGAGCAGCTAGTCAGATAGACTGGTCTTTACCACAGGATTCACCTATTGAAACCTGTTGGGCTATCATTAAAGAGGGAGTGAAATTGTTGTGCGCCCGATTTGTACTCCTCAAATTTCGAAAAGTTGGGCCAGTCAAACCACATTGGTTCGATAAAGAGTACAACAAACTGGCCCGACGACGACGCAGACTGTGGAACAAATTCGTGTTATCTGGCTCTGATTATGACTACAATGCATACAAGATACAACGAAATCGCTGCAACAACGCGAAAACAAGCAAACGCAGAAGCTTCGAGGAGGAGCTTGCAACCGCCGCAAAAACTGCCCCCAAGAGGATCTTCGCATACGTTAAGCGGCGTCTGAGGCCTGAAGCCAAAGTCCCAATGTTAGAAGGCTTAGAAGGGCTGCTCCTGACCTCGCGTGCAAACCATGCGTCCGCATTGGCGGTGCACTTCGCCTCCGTATTTTCAAGTGACCAGGTGTCTGTAACGAGTTCGACGAGTACCGCTCCAGCCGAACTTAACAGTCTGGACTGCAATATTGCGGATGTACGCAAGCTTCTAGCAAATCTTGAGGGGACGAAGCCTGCTGGGCCAGATGGTATACACCCCCTGATCCTCAAGTCCCTATCGGCCATCATCGCACCTTCTGTAACTGAACTGTTTATCAGGTTACTATCCACTGGACTGTTACCAGACGACTGGAAATGCTCAGTCGTAAAACCCAAACCGAAAGGTGGTAACCCAAGCAAAGTGGATAACTACCAGTCGATCTGCCTGACTGCTGTTTTGGCAAAGACGCTCGAGAAGATCGTGAAGAAGAACCTTCTGCAGCTTCTTGAGTCGAAAAACCTGTTTACCTCCGCACAGCATGGTTTCATGAAAGGTCGCTCGGGCATCACCAACCTAATGTTGACGAGGCACGAATGGTTACAAGCGCTGAACCAAGGCCATTCGGTCGATGTCATTTACATTGACTTCGGTAAGGCTTTTGACAAGGTTAACCATTCAGTGCTCCTTGACAGGCTGAGGATGTGCGGTGTTGGTGGTTCGCTGCACAAATGGATCGGAAATTTTCTTGTTGATCGAAAGTGGAGAGTCCAAGTGGACAACCATCTAACTGACTGGTATCCATCGATCAGCGGCATGCCCCAAGACACTGTACTGGGGCCGATATTGTTTCTGATCCATGTAAACGATGTGCCTCAGCTACTCCAATCACCTTGTGCATTGTTCGCAGATGACTTGAAGGTGTGGAGAGTAATCCGCACACTCAATGTTTGTGATTTACTTCAGCAAGATCTCGACAGCATCTCGACATGATCTGCAGAGGTTAACCTTCCGATCAACACTGCTAAGTCGCAATTGATGAGTTTGGGTAAGTGTGAGCACAGCCGAACGTACACAGTGGCTGGTCAATCGCTGCATCCAGCGTCTTTCGTGCGCGACCTCAGTGTGCTCTCACGCTGCGATCTAAATTCGATGGATAACACGAATAGGCTGTGCCAAAACAGTCTTCGGATACTTTGGCCGCTCAGGCGCAGCTTCAGCACTTGGTCCGAAGAGATTGCTACTCGCCTCTTCGTGTCGATAATACGACCAATGCTAAAATATGGCTCTCCCGCTCATTGTCCCATCATGCTAGGAGAGGTAGAAAAGCTTGAGCGGGTGCAGCATATAGCCACCAGGCTGATTCCCAACTTACGAGGTATGACATATGAAGACCGATGTAAGAAACTAGGGCTATACACCCTAGCATATCGTCGGCTGAGCGTTGACCTCATCATGACGCACCGGATATTACATCTGAGTGTTTACCCCATGTTGAGACAACTGCTTCATCTGCGCACACCAAGCTGCACAAGAGGACACCGCTATAAACTTATCGTACCGAAGTTAAAGCGGGTCGCTCACCAACTCTGTTTCGAACGCAGAGTGGTGAATATCTGGAACGACCGGCCGCAGCACGTAGTAAAAACGAACTCAGTGTCCGAATTTAAGAAGCTCCTAGACAAACATTTTGCAGAGGCAAAATATAGAGAGCGGAACGAAAAATAAGGCGTAAATGTCCAAAAGCGACGAATGATGCAGCTACACAGAGAAAGCTCTACTGGCTGCTTCGAACCAGTATTCAGTATTCAGTATTCATCATCATCATCACCATTGTCATTATCATCATCAACATCATCATTATCAAAATCAACATCATCAATATCCTCATCACCATCATCATTTTCATTAACATTATCATTATCAAATTCATCATCATTAAAATCATCATCATCATCATCATCATAATCTTCATCATCATCATCGTCATCAACATCAACAGCAGTACATACGTCGTTTTACTGAAGCTGCCCTGCTATACAACCATGATGACCTAAGGTATAAAGAATATTAACAAGGGGAGAAGGGGGATTTATCTGAAAACCTGAATTCCCTAAACAAAACATTTAGGGTCAAGTAGCCTACACCTTGTCATCAGCATACCTTCACAAACAGCTGGCTATTGTGCAAAGAGAAGGCGATAATATCCAACCACGAAGCCGGTCGTGGGGTGCATTGTATTGAACCGACGGCACTCAACATGCATGCACTTCTTAAACAGTCTTAGTGAACGATTTGTTGGAGATGCACTTCAACTTGACTCTTGGTTCAGTTGGGAATCCGTGTCGCAAGCTAAATCTACAACCAGTGCATAATACTGAAGCAACACAAGGCGGACCATGCCTTTGTGTTGGAAGACATGGACGGTGCTTATGTTGTCAACGATCAACGTACACCAATTTAAGGAGATTGCCTAACTATGCAAGGATTCTCCTTTTGTCTTGCAACAGAGCGGTCTCATCAAGGATGTCTAACATCATCCCGACTACACGGAGCAGTTCATGAAGATTTTGGAAATCGAACACCGACACGTTGGCCCTTTACGAAGCGCCTCGGTTCGGTTTGCTCCTTTCATCTTCCCACAAATTTGCAATGTAAATTTTCTATGTAAATTACTCAATTTAGGAATACAACTCAGATACTGACAGGAGTGTTTGATTCTGGAGTTTTATTTCGAAGGGCATTTGATAACATAAATGGGTTCTACTGGTTTCCAAATCAACAACTACTGCATGCCCTGGGATTGTCCCGTGATAGTGTTTTCCTCTACGGCGAGACATCATTCTGCCCCATCCGATTTGGTAAAATTAATTCAAATTTGCCTTTGCCTCTTGAAACTTAGAAAAATTCTTATCCTGAATGACCATCACCAGAAGCTGGTCGCGTGATGCCACCGGGCTGGATATCGCCGGATTTCTTACTCTCCGGTTTGGTTCTTCTTGAAGAACTCCTTCGTATTATATCACTTCTGCTCACAAGTTATCAATTCATTAAAACATTGAGGATGCCATACATCGTTTACCTTAGGTACAATGAAAAGATCTTTTTGTAACAACAAAACGCAATTAGCTCTTATGAAATCATCGTAGGTGAATCTGTAGTTATGATAAGGCAAACGGAATCATGAGTCCACCACTGCGTTGTCTAACTTGCTGACAACTGTTTTCATTAACATTATGCTGTTCACCCGGACCATGCTACTAAACAATCCGAACTATTGCAATTGGTTGGCCGCATCCGGTTCCGGATTTGATTGTCACTGTGGCCTCCATAGGACAGCCACACACCCCATATGTAGTGTAAACCCGAAAGAATAATACCAGTAGCCATGTGTATAGGAGCCATGGGTATGGGAGCCACGTTTCATCAACGGAGCCGACCCACACTCCTTCATCTAGCCCAGCAGCAGTATTCCTGTCTACCTAAATTGGAATCATGCATACCAGACGTACGCAAGATGGTGGCTGGACCGTACTCCGCTCTACACTAGATGGAACCACTCACTGTGCATAGCAAGGCCACCAGGACCGTGCACCATGTCACCCCAGCAAAGCTTCAGTCCCCGAGCTAGTAATCGATGTGGAGGGTGTTAGACAGGTAGGCACCTTGTCAACATTCACATCAAGCGCAGCCACACCGGGGATATCAAACAACCAACATAGAATTTAAGGGAAAGCAAACACGCAAAATAAACACAGAATATGCAGCTGAATAACAGGATTGAACTAATTAAATAAAGTGGGATGATTTTTATCCAGATTAAAAGGATCGCGTTTAAGTGTAAGTTGGTTTACCCCAACTGCGGTGAAGAAGCATCATGAATGCAACATCAGCTTCAGCACAAGGCAATTTGCATTTACACTCATAGTAAACCACTTTGCTTATTTCACTATGCATCAAATTGAAACATGTTGCCAATTCTTACCAGACTATCCTTCGAGATGTAGAAGTACTTCGCTGCGCTAAAGTTCTCAGAACTTCCCTCACTGTGTGCCTTCCCATTATACGTTTGTCTATTCACACAGTACTTTGGGGGCTGCTGAGTTGCCAAATCTTCGTTATCCCCAAGTGAGCAAAGTGACGGTGTATCTGGTGCGTAACTTGGATGATACCTCAGAACGGTGAGTGTGGTGTATTAGAATACATGGTTTCCTGTTTACTCCCTTAATACCGTCGTGATTTCATTGTCCTAGTGGCAGCCTACCAATCTATTCAAGACTAAAGTGCTTACTTGCTTTTTCTTCAGCTCGGCCTGTGAGAAAGGATCAGTCAAAGAGTTGCGCCAGCATATACTTGCCAAGAACATAGCCTACGACTGCCAAGAGAATCCGGCGTGAGTGCATTTCTTTTAAATCTATGCAAATAAGACTTCATGCCTTGTACGTCTTTATATCACAGCTCTGGTGTGTCGACAGAAATTTTGGTATGGGATTGTTTGAAGACGGGTGGGTAGGCGTAACGTGGCCAGATGTTTCGCAGGCCAAAGCGGGACGCTTTTTGACTTTTTGAGGGCTTAAGCGGAACCCTTAACCTACATCCCGGTTGTTGCGACATATGCAGACCGTATAAAAAATTGCAAAGCCAAATACCTACATGTTTTGCATCACTGTAATAACAAAGAGCAGGGTCAGAGATGATGTTGCGGAAGTAACCTATTCAATCTAGCATCGGACTACCAAAGTCACAGACCTAAAGCTTGTGAATGATGATGCGGTGGTTTAGAAGATTGAAAGCCTTTAAGGGGTCCATATGGAATGCGTCAACTCCCACACCACTGTGGACGTTTTCAGTCCAACTGAAGCGAGCAAGCAGCAGGTTTGTCGTGCAAGACCGGTGTCAGCAGAATCCATCTTGTTCGGGTAGTATCATTTTGCATGCCCCAAGTATTTCATGATTGCTTCGTGTTATAAACATCTGAGTTGGTTTATGACTGTCCTAGTCGGGACAGACGAACTCCTTCGCTTGTTGGTTCCCACGCACAGAGTAGCTTAGACAATTCGAATCGGAACGGCTAGTGGACTTAGCCAGCAGAGATGAACTTGTAACTGAGAAGGCAGCCGGAACGCGTAAACCGCACAATTGTACCGAGGCCTGCAGAAAGAAGCCTGGCCAATAGTAAGAGTGCTTTACTGACTCAAGTAAGACAATAGCAATTTCTCCATATTCATATTTATGGTGCAATAAAACAGTAGTAATTGTATAAACTATAAGGGAAGACGTAGGATTTTGGCACACCGGCTGACATGTAGTGGTCCTATTTCTGGGCCAAATTGGGGTGAGTTCGATGCTGTTGAGACTTTGGCCACATTACAGTTGCTAATTATGCTTGGTTGCTAAGGCGTTAGCATGAATACGGCTCAGGAGGCAGACTGTTGACTTGAGGAGAGTCCGAGAGACGATAGGGAGACTGGGAAAAGTTCAGTGGAAACTATGCGGGATACCTTGGCCGTACTCTCACTGAGCACAACTCCGTTGTGATCTGTGCAAAAGGGTGGGCCCTTGGCGGCAGTTCCCGTCTGGAGAGCGCCGCTCTGACGGGAATTGTTTGGGTCTCTGCATAGCTACTGTGTTATTCGGGCCCGATAGTGTACTGACACGTGTGAACTCCGGATGAGGTTTGTTGGGCTATGCTAGTTCATGGTTGTGCCTGTTTGTTATGGGCTTAAGGGCACTAGGTCCTGTTACTTTTTGTGAATTTGTGGGCGGCGCTGGTGATAGACAATCATGCTATGCCACATCAGGTCTGCCAAGTCCGGTAGGTTTATCCACGGTTGCCTTTTACTGCATTTTCCTGGCAACCACCGACGCGTATGATGTCCAGTTGTTCTTTACTGTTGACTGGCCGTCATTTTGGGTCTCGAGGATGGCAATTGATTTACTGATTACCGCACCATTGGAAGAAGAAACAGTAGCGCTGCTGTTAGCGACCTCGAGAGTTTCAAAACTGCTAGCGATCAGTCCACTTAAGAGAGTAGAGTGGGGTGAGACACTTGGTGATTGATAGGATGAGGTGAGTTTGGGACTCGTGGCTCTTTGCTTTGGAGTGAATGAGGAATCAATAGGGGTCAGCTGGGATGCAAGTGTAATTCCGTTTAATTCCGCTCCCATATCCCTGGCGTCCGCCAGTTGTTCAGCTGCGTCTGTCAGCATTTCACATCTGTTTGTCGGCACGATTAGACATCTGAAAACTGGAGTGGATTGGCACATTTGTCAAAAACCAAAACGCTGCTACAGTGCATTTGAGAAGAGTCTTTCGTTTTTGCTCAGTCGCCGCGCTGGTCAGGGGTAGATTGGAACGCACTAATTTGCCGACCCACCAATGGCATGTAAGTCTACTGTATTTACTCACCCACGCATGTCTGGGGGTGTGAATACGACGTGAGGACGCATATCGGTGCATGTGTCCTTGAAATATGTTAATGACCCTCGGGAGTTCGACACAGGTCAGTTCAGATTGGGTCGATGCCGACGTTTTTGGCTGGTGGTTTGCAACATCTCGACAGCAGTGCATAATGCACTGGCTACCGTGTTCAAATGTTGGTGGCGCTTCGACAGTTGCTTAATGTTATCCCAGCAAATGATAAAAGGGTTAGTGACAACACTGTTGTAGACTGAATGTTACCTTCACATAAACCATCTTAGCAAAATAAGAATTCGTAACAATTAGACGGTGAAAATATGAGATGCTACTTCTGCATAAATGAGTCCGGAACAATGTCTACCAGCTACTGGAGGCTCACCGGATCTATTTGCAAGTACGCGGCCGCCTAAGGAGTTTATTCCAGCAGAATACAGAAATAAAAAGAAAGCTGAGTGCAGTGGCTTTTGAACAGATTTTATCAAATCTCATTTTATTCCATCAGCTTGGACAATTAAATCAAAATCAGTTTCGCAATGAACACGAGAAGGAATTTTACCGTATTGGTATGGTAAAAGAATCCTAGAAGTAGGTAAAGAAGCGTTTAGGTCAAATCTAATCACCCATTTTAGAAAGAAAGGTGATGGAAGAATCCAGCGCGTACGATGCATTTATTTGATGAAACCAGTCTGTTTACGGCTGAATATTCAAGCGTTGTTGGTGTATTAAGCATTTTATTGACTTGACTTGAGTTCCCCGCCTTGGCAGACTTGAATGTATAAATATTCCTTATCGCCCAGATACGTATCCGGCCGATTTGGAAATCTTTAATATGCCATCGTACTAGAATTTTTGGTATTTTAAGTATCCATGGAAACTGTGTAAATAGATCACTGACGATTCACGCTCAACCGTTTGTTCCACGGTCATGACACATTCAGTAGTTGCGAATGACTTAACAAGCGTAAAAGTATTGCCCATTAGTTAAGTTCCCGTGGGCGGTGGGACTCTCTGGGACTCTTTTAACTTCCGATATAATTCCACGGGATGTACAGCTGAGCGGCTAATCGTACTCCCACAACGACAGAACAACAACAGATCATGGTGACGTGCTGGTATAGATTTGTTTTCCTATTTCGTTAGACTGCTGCTACCAAAAGAAATGCGGATGTTCTACGTGTGCCCTAAAGCTCGATCCACCTGAGTGTTGGCGAAATGTGGGTGGGTGAGATTTACTGTTTTATGTAAAGCTGCCGTTTGCACTAGTTGCAAAATACCCAAGACAAAATGAACCGTAATCGCTTTCAGCTCATACGTGCTTTTGACACGTCAAAGAAATTGACCAGGGGTTCAAATTCCCTACAGGCCTTGTGAACTGGAAGCAGAGAGTGCGGAGATGATATCTGAGATTGGGGCAGCACTACACGTCTGCTGGTGGACTCGCACCAAACCGCAATCAGATCCCTCATGTATGAATTTGAAGTTGACGAGCTGCTAGCAACTTGTCATGGAGTGTGAGGCATGAATCCAGTAATACCTAGTGAACATCCAGTGGCCCTAGCTTGGCGAAAGCTGCTGCTGTCACACTCGCTTCCGTAGCAGTCATCCTAGGAATACTGTAAACTGGCTTCCATGAACTTACCTGAGCTACAAATCAAGTGGACTGGTCACTACAGCAAGATTAATCTATCGAAGCAATATAGGCAATCCTAAAGGAGTATGGAAAATGATTGTGCGCAAGATCCGTACCCCTCAATTATCAGATGATTGCACTAATGAAACTAAAATGGTTCGACAAGTATATTTTATTTGATTAGACATTGAAGTGTACTAAGGAATAAATTCAGTCCGATGAGTTCTGCCGCCGATTACGTGGTGTCATAATCATGGCTGATTTCACGCTACAGCACCAGTGTTCAAAAATCCCAGCCACAACGAAGACGACCCACAAGAGGATCATTCATTAAGTGACGCTGCACTTGAGGAGTACAGATGACGGAGCAATGTTAAGGGGTTCAGCCGGACAGTCCCTGACTTCCAAGAGGGACCATGCGTCGGCATTTGTGGTGCACTTCAATTCCTTATTCGCAAATATTTAGGAGGCGGTACAGAGTTTGATTTGTGTAGGCCCTGCCCATTTTGACAGAAGAATTACGGCATAGTAGATGCTCGCAAGATATTCATTGGTAATTGGCGGTGCTTCACATGCTATACCTAACAATTCGAATTTTCTTGTCTGCCCCATCTTGACTTCTGTACAGACCTTTCCAAGAAGTCGCTAACCGACAGCGGATTATTGAGCAAGTACTACTGCCCGGTTGGGAAGTCAATTTCGAAGAGTGATGACCGAATAAAGATGGAAAGTGCCGGCTGAGTATGCTAAAAGCTGTTTTAGCCAAAATGACCGAGAAGTTCGTGAAAAAATGCCTGCTGTAGCTGACTGAGTATAAAGCTCTGTTCATACCCGCGCAGCACGGCTGCAGGTCACATCGCTCAAATATAACGCAGTTAATAAAACGCGCTATTCCAGGCCTTCGTTCCAAGACTTATTAGTACTTTCATCCTGTGGCTTGAGGTATATGGACAACAAGAACAAATTATACAGAAAGTGCTTTCACTGGGTTTCGGCGCCTAAACAATCTTTTACAATTACTCTGATGAGATTGCAACTCGCCTCTTCTCTCTCATCACAGGAAAATGCTAGAGTATCGACCACTGGTCTTCTGTTCGATGCCACGGAGCAACATGTAGCTACCAGGTTTATACTTAGTCTACGCAAACATCGAGACGGGTGACTAGGGTTGCACAAACTATCGTATCGTCAGTTTCGAAACGACTCCATAAGGACAAACCGGATTTATATATTCATTTATGCATTTGTTCGGATTATGATTTTGTTTAGAGGCAAGGGTTTTGCAAGAGTCAACACCAGTAGATCTAAAAGACTGAACAGAAATTTTCCTGGAAAGCAATTA